CATTACTAGAATCCTCTAAGATCTTGATTGTTTCACTAGAAATGTAGACATCAAGGGAAAGGGTTGGAAATGCAGAAATTCAGCCCACATTGCAGACCTGCTGAGCCAGAATCCGCATTTCGACAAGATACCCAGGGGTTTCAAATACACATTAAAAACTTGCCTCACTGTATCATGTGGATACTCACAGGGTTTAGTAGGAATCATGAGCCTGAACCTTGGTGGGAAAGGTCTGTTGAGATCACCTTCCAGAAAGCCACAATCTGATGCTGTCTGGGCAAAACAATCAGCACCTCCCATGTGATATTAACTGAATTACCAGTTGTGGGGAAGAGAACATTAGGAAATGCTTGAAATGTATAAGGATGGGTCTTCATAAGGTGAATGCCTATTTAGGTATGATTTTGAAAACAGGATGAGTCTATAGGACTGTTTACGGAAAGGATATTGGCAATAAAAAGGATAAAGGACTTCCTGAGGGAAGTCTTTTTTGGTTCAGACAGAGAAATAAGAGAGCTGTAGGTTGACTTACTGCTCGCTAGGTAAACAGAATACCCTATTTTATTAAAGGACTGTGTGCATTTGACTTTGTGCACTTAATAATCATGATCTAATGGCTCTGACATTATCAGGACTTGGTCATTTGGACATCAAGGTGATATTCAGACAGCTGTAAAACTATTTTTTAGGTCACATTACCCCTTTTAAATACTTCAGTTTGTCTTTTGACTGTAGCCCCTTTGACTAGTTCGGAGTAGTTTGTGTAATGACTTATGAGCGTGAGATTAATGTTCCTTTAACATTAAATTTAAAATATAGTTATTTGTATTGACTCAGCCATGTTTTGTCTCATTGCCTACTTTGTTGATGAAGGATATTACAAAGAACCTCTGGTCATTAACGAATGGGTTTACCAATTGCTTTTGGAAGCATCTGTGGGATTCAAAGTGTGCCCATTAAAGTTTGATACTTTGCAAAAACCCTGGCTGTTGCTGGCACCCAAAGTTGCTCTTATAGGGTTTGCTTCATTGTTGATTTCCACTACAGCAC